GTGATATTGTTTTTGGCAATTTTGTATCAATCCTCAATTTCATCCAACAGCCAATAGGAATAGAGTGTAGCATAAATAATATATTTTGTGATCAAATAGCCCTTAAATGCCTAAAATAAAATAAAAACCTGAAATTATAAAAAATAACACAATTTAAAATGATTTTTTTGAATATTTTATGAATAAAAAATAAAGACACAAAATGACCGAAAACGATAAAAACCGGACGAAAATTTATCCGAAAAAATAAAATGTACACATTAAAATAATCTACATGTCACAAAGATTAAAGAAAAAAATATTCAAGAAGTCAAAAATCAAAAATAAAATAATAATGAAAACATCAGACTAAACAGACGTTTAAGGTTAAAACGAGACTTCGAACTGTACCGAAAAAATAAAGCGAGCATACCGTCATAATCTACGCGAAGCGCAGATTTATAAAATGATCGGTAAAAGGTGAAAACTTGAAATATTTTTCTCGCTATTTTTTCGCACATTGTTGAATCGCTTTTAACAGTTTGTCTATAAAATCAAAATATTTTTATTATCGACATATAAACAAATTGGAGCAATGCAAGAAACGAGTAAACAAATAAAAATGAATGAAATGAAATGTCGGGTATTTTACAACTGAAAGACGATGCAACTTTGATTTAAACTGACTTTTCCTGGTCAACTTAAATACGACTAATGATGCAAAATGTGATGAATGAAGGTATTTACTAATGATTGCGACCAAATAACAAAATATGGTATGAATGTGCGACTGAAAAAATTAGGGGCGAAATTAAGGGTGCAACGGTGTGCCTTGATGAATCAGTCTTTGAGAATCCACAATCAACCGTACTTCTGGCTTGGGAGACTCAAAACCTTAATTGAGGCGCGACACCTGATGCTCTTGATTCAGACCTGTCTCCGCACATGAAACAAAAGAAAACATGAACATACACCTTTGTATGCGATTAGAAATTAGTGATACATGGGCTAAAAAATGTTCAAAACACTTGACAATTTTCGCATAGTCAAAGCTCGAAGGTGAGAGGTTAAAACCAACCGTATTTCGTGACCTTGACTTATCTTAAAAAATGCAAAAATAAAAATGGGATCTTAGGTCAAAAATTGGGGTACAACACATACCATTTACAAGATCTCAGCAGACCAACTTGTTCAGACAATCCTTGCGGATACGAGCTATTCTCATATGCCATAACCAAGATTCATCCTCTTTACTTAGGATACATACATCCCTTAAAGGAATATTATTTAAATTTAGGATTAAATATATTTTTGATCCTTATAAATATCTCAATTTCATTTTTAATCCCTATTAAAAAAATGACAAGTTTTGGTCCTTACAAAATTTTTGTTCATCCAGATTTAGTCCATGCTATTTTCTAAAATTTTTAAAACTGTTTAATTACTCTTAAACTTTTAAATTTTTGAATAATATTTTTCATATGTGTTTAGAATACTATAAAATATTTCTTTATAAAATTTTAGAATTTTTTAAAATGAGAAGAATATATTTAGCCATGGGTTCGAGTCCCAGGTCCAGCATATTATTTTTCTAACAATTATCAAATGCAGATTTGGTGCATGTATTAGCCAGGGGTTCACCATGCACCATACCATCAACACCATCAGATCATACTCAACATGGATCCAGTGGCTCCAACAAGTAGTCCCCATCTTGGACTCTCCATACGTGCCCACGCAGGATCAAGCACTGGTTTGGGCCTTCACATCCTGGGACTAACGCAAATTCAACTCAACACCCCCCCAATTGCTACTCTCTTGGCCTATTTGCATTTTTTTGTCAATTTTTTTTTTGCTTTATTTATTTTTTTCTAATTTATTTTCTTTATTTATTTAATTGATCAAATAATCTAAAATCACAAAAAATAGGATTTAATCATTTTAATTAAATAATTAGTTTCTAAAATTAATTAATTAATTAACTTTAACCTTTTTCTAAATTAGAATTTAGGATTAATTTCATTATTTTCTTTCCTAATTAAAAAAAAAGGCTTAGACTATTTTTCTTAATTAATTTTCATTTTCCTAATTAGACTTTAGAATAATTAATCTAACTTTTTTTAAAACAAAAACAACCAAAAAGATTTTTCCTCTAGGTTTTAGAACATGTTTTCATTCGTCGCGCGTTTATTTCTTTTTGCATTTTATATTCATGTAACTCTTATATGGGATGTAATAGTTAATAGGAATTTATTTTATTGCTTTATTTTCTTTTCTCCATTTGGTTTGAAATGTAAATATCCCCCTCCCCGAAGCCATGTAATAGTCTATATTTATACTTTCCGCATTTTATTTTTCTGTATATATAATTGTTAGTAACTTAGGCGCGCATGACAAGATAAAGTCAATTAATCGTTAGATCACTAACCTCAAGATAATATAACTGAAAAAACACACTTCTCACACTTGCACTCTTAGGGTATTCCTCACTTGGTTGCCTTCGAAAATGGTCATGTCCCTCGAACGTAGGGATATCTTAGCAAACACCCTCGACACTAAAGTCATCAAAAAGATCATGGTCCCTTAACATCTCTCGAGTTGCCTACAAGAAATGATCTTGTCCCTCGATGTTTCCTATATGATGACAGTCCCTTCGAATGCTAAGATATTCTTACATGTTGCCTTCAATAATCATAATGTCTCTTTCGATAGTCCCTCAACATCTGACGATAAGGCTACCTACTCATTAATAGTAGGATAGCACTATCTAAAGGAATGGAGGAAAAGAACATCCTTTTTCGAGTAGGTAGATTGTTCTTAAATACTTGCTCAAATCTGAATTTTTCACACTTACACACTTTTCAAAAACTATTTTGAAAACGCTTTATCACACTCTTGAGGAATGATACAAGAGTTACCATAAAGCAAACAAAAAAAAACTTTCAAAGCACACAAACAATTTTCAAAAATGAGCAAGTACCTAAGAGCCCGTGGAAAACCATGGATGGAAAGGGTGCTAACACCTTTCCTTTCCATAATTTATCCCCTTACTCAGAAAATCTTGAAAAAGGTATTTTTATGTTCTTTTCACCCTTTCCTTTGTTGGATAAAAGAAAAGTCGGTGGCGACTCTTGCTTACCGCGACATTTTCGAAAACAAACACAAACCAGTATTAAGCAGTCGATTCTGCCACCGTATCACAGTAAGCATTAACAAAAGACATGTAATAATTGTGACCAAGAGTGGAGGAACTGGGAGAGGGCCCCCATAGATCACTATAAACAAGTTCAAGTGGTGTAGAATAGGTGGTGTATGAAGCAGGTGAGTGTAACTTATATGCTTTTCCCATGCAACAGGCAGTACATAAAAGAGAATGGTATTTATTTGTAAAAGGAATGTTACAACTTTACAATACAAGCTTTAAAGCATGAAGATTAGGATGTCCTAACCTAAGATGCCATACATTAGGAAAACTAGAATCTACTATAGTATAACGAGCACTAGGTACATCAATTTTATTAGCAGAAAAACAAGAAGGAAAACTAGAGGACTTAGCAGAGTTAAACAGCAGCAGATGAGGGAACTCATAGAGACCATCACTGCCAATAGACCCTTCAAGAAGAGTTTCACACCGAATCCTGAGATTTGACAAGACAGGTATCAACATTAAACAGAAAATAACATTGTTATCTCTGGAAAATTTACTAACACTCATTAAGTTTTTTGTTATGGAGGGAACAAGCAAAAGATTTTTGAGTGTTAGGTGTGTCTGTGGCTGACAAGGTGAGGTAAAAGAATTAGAACCAACAAATTCAATTTGCAAACCTTGGCCATTTTCAATGATGATTTGCTTATGACCTTCAAAGGGGGTTATTTGCTACATATTTTTAGCATCACTGGTGGCATGATATGAGGCGCTTGAGTCAGGAAACCAACCATTAGATGAAGAAGGCATGGCATTGGCTACAAAAGTACTTGGAGGTTGCATGAGTGGAGCAACCATTCTTGCAGGACCAGCAGGTCTAGTCCATACATTTGGAGCATAATCTTGCCAAGGTGTGGGTTTATAGTAGTTTCCTCCTCCATTAGGTGCCTGAACATGTGGAGTTCCGCCAGTAGTTGATGCCTGATGGTTATACTTGTGCCAGCAGTTTAGGGAAGAATGGCCAAACTTTGAGCAAACCTAACACCTAAGAGTGGAGTTTCAACCTCCCATACCTCAACCATTTCTGCCACCTCTTCTACCATTTCCGCCACCTCTAAAGCTATTTTACTCTAGTTCAGCAGAAGGAGGAGCTTGAGGAGCAGAGGAGTCTGAGCTGAGCATAGTGTTGGAATCACCATAAGCAGCCACATCAAATACAACATGAGTGGGATTTAAATAAGCAAGATCAGGAACTGTGACCTTTTTGAATTTCGTGAGATGAAGTTCACGAGCAACAAGCAGTACTTCCACTTCATCAAGGTCCATAATACCAAACTTGCTTTCAATTATAGAAACAACATGAGCAAATCCATATGGCAAACCTTCAAGAATGACATCTATGTGATGTGACACAGGCAGAAGATCACCAATAGAGGCAAGTGCATAAACTATCATTCTGATTTTGAGCAGATAATTCTGAATTGACATAGAATCAAGTGTCATGGAGCGAAGTTCAACATGAAGTTGACGCGCACGAGCTCGTGTTTGCTTGTGGAAATACTGAAACAATCGATCCCATATCTTATGAGCATGAGTACAACCAAGCACACGAGAGAGAATTTCGCTAGATAGAGTCGATTGAAGCCATGATAGCAACATCTGATCTTTTTGAAGCCAAACAAAATATTCAGGATTCTCAGATCCTGATTTGCGAGCTACATCGTCAACAAACTGAGGTGGAATTCGCGAACAAACGACGAAAGCTATGAGACCGTG